TATCTATCTATCTATCTATCTATCTATCTATCTATCTATCTATCTATCTATCTATCTATCTATCTATCTATCTGTCTCTCTGTCTGTCTGTCTGTCTGTCTGTCTGTCTCAGTTGTTGTAATGTTTGTTCTTTGCATCTATCTATCTATCTATCTATCCATCCATCCATTCATCCATCCATCCATCCATCTAACATTCGTTTGTTCATGAATTTTGACTGAATTAATGCTTTAATCTCAATTTCTTTGCATCAGCTGACATTGCAAAGCCTTTGAATGATGTGTCCAAATATTTCCGTTTCTTCCATTTTTTGTCTTCCTCACACTCTGTCTGCCTTCCCAGGGTTCTCCTTTCAGCGCTCTCATACATCTCGCTTGCACATGGACGTCTGTTTCTAGCTCTGAGCCAAGGTTACCTCGTGCAAATGAGTGGAGCAGGTAGCATTTATTCCAGGAAAATCATTTAATTGAATTTTAATCAGGCCATTGGCACCTCTGTCGCAGTTTCAAAGACTCTGTGAAAAATGGAAATAAGCGTAACATTGACCGAGACGCCCATGGAGGACTGCTAGTCTGTCTGAGAGCGTCCTGCCGCTTCTGACTCCGTCTGCTCTAGATTGGTGAATTCTAATCTCTCGCTCTTTATTTTCGTCAGATTGTACTCATTTTGGCGGCCCTCGTTTCGCTGAAAACTAGCTGTGCGGCCCAAGGGTCATGAAATGGAGAGTTTTCAGAAGCACAAAGCTTTCTCCGTCACCTCTCATCCGCTCTCTGTTTCTTTTCCTCTAATCATGCAATCACACAGCCCAGAAGAGAGTAGGATAATCAATGCCTGGGAGAGAGCCGCATTTCTCCATTTTCTCTCACAACCCTGCCTCCCTTCAGCCACTTTGAGATTCTAGCACACAGGAACACTGCAGTGGATGATAAAATGACATTTTCCAGCACTTTGCTTTTGAGTCGCCTACAGTGCTAATTTGTGTTAACAGTGCTGTTGAAATTTTGCCAAATTATGTTAAGTTTATGTTACATAGAAAGTTTGAATTATACAACAGCATTCTTATTTTAAAAGACAACACGACTCAGTATTTGCTATTTATGTGCCCACATGATTAAATCAGGAGGGGGTGAAATATCTTAGACTATTATATTTTTGCAGTACTTGCGGAGTAGCACTACTGTATATAGATAGACATTTTGGTTTGTTCTAAACCCCCAGCTTTAATTATTAAACATCTATAATTTGGCCTGGACTCCAAAATGAAAATGTTGTCATAATTTACTCAACCTTATGTTGTTCCAAACCTGTACGACTGACTGCAAATGTTGTCAATTATGGAGAGTTTTCAGAATCACAAAGCTTTCTCCGTCACCTCTCATCCGCTCTCTGTTTCTTTTCCTCTAATCATGCAATCACACAGCCCAGAAGAGAGTAGGATAATCAATGCCTGGGAGAGAGCCGCATTTCTCCATTTTCTCTCACAACCCTGCCTCCCTTCAGCCACTTTGAGATTCTAGCACACAGGAACACTGCAGTGGATGATAAAATGACATTTTCCAGCACTTTGCTTTTGAGTCGCCTACAGTGCTAATTTGTGTTAACAGTGCTGTTGAAATTTTGCCAAATTATGTTAAGTTTATGTTACATAGAAAGTTTGAATTATACAACAGCATTCTTATTTTAAAAGACAACACGACTCAGTATTTGCTATTTATGTGCCCACATGATTAAATCAGGAGGGGGTGAAATATCTTAGACTATTATATTTTTGCAGTACTTGCGGAGTAGCACTACTGTATATAGATAGACATTTTGGTTTGTTCTAAACCCCCAGCTTTAATTATTAAACATCTATAATTTGGCCTGGACTCCAAAATGAAAATGTTGTCATAATTTACTCAACCTTATGTTGTTCCAAACCTGTACGACTGACTGCAAATGTTGTCAATTATAATTTTTTAGCATGCACTTTTTTACTAAACCATACATTAACATAAAATAATGTTTATTTGGAGACTCAATTCATCAAAAATGATTTTGTGCAGCTGATAGCATAGCTTTTATACCTGATTCACTAGAGGAATTCAATGCAAATCAGATGATAGCACAGACATTGCATAACAATTGTCCATAATTCTCCATTTTACGGAGTGCTAGGTTGTGAAAGACCAACAGATTTCAATCTTGTATACTATGCTGAGACTGAACAGCGTTATTCCATCAGTGCAGTCCAGGCAATGTGCATCTGGATGTATGCCCAATTAAAATGCTTTTCTACATCATTTGATCATCATTAAGTGATTTACTGCTGCCGCAATCAATAGAGTATGTAAACAAACAATCTCTCTTAAATGAAATTCCACTTATTGCTTTTCGTGGAAGGTAATAGTGTAATGTTATTTTCCCATGCCATTTATAATTTGCCCTACAAAAGAAGCACATTTATTCATATTGCAGTTTTATGCCGTTCATATAGATGTCTGTGATGCAGTAGTGGTTTTAATTAATGCGTGAGAGATGAGAACAGTTATAGGAACTCAAAAAACCATTTAACTCACTCAGAACGCTTCATCTTGTGTGTTTGTGTGTGCTCAGCCACT